GGGGTAGAGGACAAACATTATTTCTCGTGATCCAGTTTAGGCGCCTATAATCAATGCACATCCAGAGTTTCCGACCTTTCTTTGGGACAAACAGGATAGGGGGACCAAATTTTGATTAGCTCGGTCTGATCCATCCTCGATCAATCATGTCATCAAGCTGCTTTCCTCCATCTCGGCTGACCCCATGCGGTAGACACAATTCTAGGAGGAACACTTATTTCCACTAGCTTGATTTTGTGCTTGATCAGACACATGGGGACCACTTGGTTCAGCCAAAACATCAAGAAATCGAGCTAGGAGGCTGTGGATATTTGTGGGGATCTCGGGTGGAGAAGAATTATGAATCAGAAGTCGATAAATCAGATTGTGAAGTCACAACTAGAACAATAGATTCAAAAGTAAACGGGGATGGGTTAGTAGTAGAGTCATTCATTACTTGTATTTACAAAAGAAGCCTAAGTAGAAGGCACACGAGCAGGTCTCACAGAGGCTATACACATCTGCTCGTCCTTACCGTGCTTGCGCCACTTTCTGTAGAGTTCGATCACATTAAAAAATGCCATTGGGAACGTGCGATTCATCCAAGAGGACGGAACGCTCGTTTCCTTCAGCGTCAAGTACCACAAAGCTTGGCTCCTTCCGAATCGTTCTTTGACATTGGGTCTAAAGCCGCCCAATCTAATGACCGCTTCGAAAGGACACTCTTCAATGATGTAGTAGTTGGGAGCGTATGTGATTGTGTAATTTGCGTCAAAGATAGTGCACACACCTTTGACCACATGGATAGAATTGACAATTGCTTGATTGCCAACCTTGGTCCATTAGGGGTTCAGCAGCTCCACTTGCTTCATCCCAAGGCCCGCCTTACGACTACTGTGCGAAGAAAAGAAACTAGCAGTCGCACCACAATCAATCAACGTGTGAATGTAAGTATAGTTAATGAGGAACTTGGAATATATCAACTCCACTCCCTCCTGGGTCCGGCCTTGCCTGAGCTTGGCCGAGTGCTCCAAGTGGTAATGGAGGTCTACCTCTTGCGACTCCTCCTAAGCCTCTTCATATAGGGCTCTTAGTGGTCTACCTCTTGTGACTCCTCCAAGGTCAGGCTGCTGATTAGCTTGAGGCTCCTTAGAGGATCCCTCATCCAGCGGCTCGGCCTCCCTTGTCGTAGGGAGTGCTGATTACTGCTCTATGTCCCTTGCCTGTTTGAGGTTGTTTCCCTTCAGGCAAATATAATTCTGCAAAAGGTGCCCTTTCTTCTCACAATACGAACAAACATTATTTTTCATTCGGTGTTCCCAGGTTTGTTTGCTGATCCAAAGGTCTCTCCATGGTTCCATACTCGCATCCTCCGGAACGGCAGGAATCTTTGCCCCTTGGGAAAGGTGAGACTGAGACTTCTTCATTGAGTTGCTGCCAAGTCCCTTGTTAGTAATGTCAGTTCTTTTTCATGGCATTCAGTTTTTCAAGTTCTTCGGACCCCAGAGCTGTTGTAGAGAAACCCGCGCCGGAGCCCGCCTCTAGATTGTTATCTAGATTTGAGTCATCTGCATAGGACTGGTCCTCAGCCTGCACCTGATCGTGCATAGCAAAGCGGATGCTGCCTCCAAACCGCTTGACAACCTGTGCGCGGGCATTATCCAACGCCGCCTCTACCTGGACTACCTCTCTCATGAGGGATTGCCAGTCTGAAAATTTCTTCCTAGCCCACGAATGAAATCTTCAGGGATTGTGGTGGAACAGAGTCCAGATAAATGGTCGCGTTCATCTCAAGGCTAGGAGTGGTAAAAAGGGTAGCCTATTCGTGCTCCAAGACTTCATGGTGTCCATCCACTGTTTACCTCACATATTCCAGATCTTTTGTCTGGCCTTCGAGGCAACACGTGGATCCTAGCGTGTCTTGCCTCCACGGCCTTGACTTCCAAGAAGTTCAGCACAGGGGGCTCCACATTGGTGCCCAAACTTATTGCTTGATTAGATCACGTCGTTCGGGTCACCATGAAATACACCCTCATCTGGGCACAACCCAGAAGACTGTATCAGCTTTGAGGGGGAAACTGTGCCACCCGTTGTCTACTTGTGGAGTGGCAGCAACTGGTGATTCTTGACTTGAGCCTGCAGCAGTTGCACGTGTCCCCGCGCTGTCAGTTGCTGCAGCAACTCCAGCAGCTGCTGATCCTTGACTTGAGCCTACAGCAGTTGCAGAAGTCCCTGTGCTGTGATGAAGATTTGACAAGAAATGTATCCCAGGTCCCTGCCTGTTTTTCAGTTTGTGTTTTGGACAGCAGGCTTCTTTTTAAATCACCACTCCCCCCGCCGGCCTAAATTCCGCCCTCCTGGCCTTATGGACCGGGTTTTTAAGGGGGTGGCGACCAGCAGGTGCAGGCGGGTCCAATCCCACAATTTTCAAGAGCCGACTTTGGCAAAGTTTTGCGATCAGAAGAATTAATGAAAAAGTCTGAAAAATTGAGAGCTTGTAGATTAGGTTATGATCTATCCAGGAAAAATAGCAGGAAAAAAAAAATAAAATAGACAGAGAAAAAAGTGCCGTGCAGGGCTGGTCATCGGATGGACCGGGGACCCCTACCCCATCCGCGGTCCTCACGGCTGGACCGGCCGGTGGCCCGGGACGGTTCCCTCCCGGTCGCCCCCAGCACATTTTCGCTGGGGCTTGAATTTTTTTTTTTGGCGGCGCGATTGTGTTGTGGAGGCCTCGTGGGGGCGGGCCCTGCCCCGCAATTAGGAAACCGGGTCCTGCAGGCCCCATTTTTCGAAGTTCAAAAAGTGGCCAGTCTTGGCCGCCGATCGTCGCAGATCAGTGGCAAAGATCGGCCACTGTTTTGAATCACTTCTGGCGGGAAACTGAATTCTCGCAACGGGGGAGAACGCATCGCGCGATCAACCCCGCTCACCTCCAGTCTGTGCAGCCGCTCCGTCGTCGCCTCGGACAGCCAGCCGCGCCATCGTCACCACCGCCAGCCAGCCGTGCCATCACTCGGTGCAGCCGCACCATCGTAGGTAGGTCTCCGCAGGGTGCATCATTGCCATCGCCACCTCCGCCAGCCAGCCGCGCCATCGCACCCCCCGCCGGCGAGCCACTCCATCACTCCCCAAGGTTTGTTTCTTCTTCTTCTTCGTCTTCTTCTTCTTCTTCTCCGTGGTCACTCTCCTCGCCCGTTAGCCATAGCCGTCCTCCGCTTCTTCTTCTTCTTCCTCTTCTTCTTCTACCTCCTCCTCCTCCTCTTCTAGTCCTCCTCCTCTTCTAGTCCTCCTCCTCTCTTAGCCATCGGCTTGCGTTCTTCTTCTTCTTCTTCCTCCTCCTCCTCCTCCTCCTCCTCCTCCTCCCCCTCCTCCTCCTCCTCTTCTTCG